TATAGAATTTTGAAACTGCATATTACATTTCCTAAAGGAGATGATTTAGAGCAATACAATTTTCCACAAATGTTTCTTCTTATTTGGGTTCTAGTGGAGAACTAGAGTTAAATCGATTTTTTTGTTAATTTCTACACAGTAGTAGTGGTCTACAATCTACATAATAACCTTTTAGGTTAAATGTTATACTATGTTTTATAGAGAATAGTATTAACTACTCGTGACCCAAATTTCGAATCCGTAAAGTGGATTAGGTGATTACGTATAGTTGTAATAACAGACTTTGTCTATTCTAAAAGGTAAAGGGTAAGCCTGAAGTATTCTATTTTAGTGCACATCCAAGGGTTTATTGCAATTCTAGTATAAAGAGGTGTTAGCAATGTCTTACAGCTAACCAGAGTTCTCCATGTGGTAGCAGATGAATTACTCGTTAGAAGGACAGCGTTGTGTTGTGTGTTATTGTTGAAGGCCCAACCCTTTGGGAATCACATGGTAACTGTGGTTGAAATCCAAATCGAGGGAACAGATTTTTGGTTAAAAGCCAGTGTATGACCAGTAGCACATTTCTGGTTACCAATGCAGTTGCCAAATCAACAGGTACCACCTCAGAATTATATAGAAGTTAGTGGCAACTAGTCAGCAATTGTCTCTTTAGTTGTCGCGGTTTAGAAATAAAAAAATAAGGAAATAATTCTGTAACTTCTAAACGCGTAAAGTGGAAATGTTGTCGAGTTCAAGTTTTGAATTTGCACCTTATGAGTCCACCAGAGGCGTAGTCAGGGTTACACCTGGGGTAAAACGATCCTATTTCTTCGTTTGTGTACCGATCTTTTATTTGAATCGTTCAAACCGTTTAGAAGTTACAGAATTATTTCCCTCTTTTTTAATTCCATACCACTGTGTGTCGTTCATCGTAAACGGAAATGTTTTAATTCCCTCATTAATCTTGCTATATCTCAGTCCGAATGTTTTTGGGACAATAGTGTCCAGAATAGAGAAGTTAGGGGGATGGCTTTGGTCTAATGACTAGTATATTGATTAGTCGAATGACTAGTCTATTGACCAGTCTATGGACGAGTCTTTTGACTATTCTATAGACCAGACCATTGACTAGTTTATGGACTAGTCTATTGGTTAGTATATTGACTAGTCTTAGAATAGCCTTTTGACTAGACTAATGACTAGTCTATTGGATAGTCTAATCCTCTATAAGTTTTCGTTCTTAACAATCCCTTAAACAAATTTGTTAGGAATGTTTCCTAATATTGTTTAAATAGTTGCAATAAACATATTTTTAAATATCTTGCATATTTTAATCGATTTTCTAATGTATCTTTAGAAAACTTTTTAAAACTTTGCATTGTTTTTAGCATTAAGAAACCACTCTATTACAAGGACTTATTATATAACGAATACAAAATTACTATATTTTTGTTTAAAGCAACTAAAACCTTTGAAACCGCTTTTTTAAATTTAAGTTATTATCATTTAGCAAACAAACACCACCACGCAACTTAAAATTGATTAAAATCTAACAAATTATTTCCTTTCGTTTTCATTACAGATTGTCGTCGCAGCTCCTACATTCAACACCAAAACAATAACAACAACAAAAAAATTACGCGAAAATAACTAAAATAATAAATTAAACGAATATTTTTCTAACTAAAATATAACACGTAAACTAAAGAAAATACGAAAAGAAAATAAATAGAAAAAAAAGAAACAAAATTAAAGAAAAACAAACGAATTTAAAATGTTTCATTTCCGGTTAAATGAAAAGAAAAATAACTAAACCTTATCTAGTGGTGTAATTTACAATAAGAAAAAAAATCGAATATTTTTTTTCTTTCTTTTTAATAAAACTTTAATTGGTTCGAACAACAATAACAACCGACACACAAACTTATAAACGTAAATAACCAACACATACTTAACTACGTATAAAAAAAACCTACAAAATAATACCTTTAAACCAGAGGGTTGTGTTAAAATTCACCCACCAAAATAAAAAAATAATATATAATAATAAAAGGAAGAAGAGTAGTGTTGTATAAATAAAGAAAAGAAAAAAAAAACAACAACATATTACATACTCAACACTAAACAAGTTGTAAGGTGAGTTGTTACAGCGAGCAGTACTTAATTGATTAGTGAGTAAAAGAGTAAGTGTAAGTGCAGAATAATTGTTTTACAAATGAGTGAGTTTTCTTGTTGTTATTGCTGTTAAAGGGGAGTTATGAGGTAGGGTAGTGTTTTGTAGTCTAATATTTGTTTATTTAAGGGAGATTTTTATTTATGTGGGCTAATAGTAATAGTTTTTTACTTTTTAAAAAAGTTTTATTTAACATTTTTAGTTTGTTAGATATTTTAGTTAATTTTCTAACTTTTAGTGGTTTTCAGTTATTATTTGTAATGTTTTTTTATAATTTATATTTATTGCCTTTTTGGAGATAATATTGCGCAGTTTTACTTTGATTTTGTTTTATCTCTTAAGAGTATTAAGAGTCTTTTATTAGTTATAAAGCTCTCAGTAAGGTAAATTTAGCTGGTTTTTGTGAGAATTTTAGTGATTTTTTTTTTGCTTTGGAAATTAAGAAATAAAAAGAAAATAATAATTTGAAAAAAATTTCATTCCAAGAGAAGAAAATTACAGGAAATTTTCAAAACTGTGAACTATAAAACCGTCCTTTAATCATTTGATTGCAAAATTTGCATTTGCTCGTAGATTTTGGAAAGCATATACATTTTCTGGGTCATTGTATAATTCTAAGGCGATCCCACTATGTCCGTCCGTCACTCAATTTTTGGTATCAGAAATACTTATGTATTTTCTATTGAAAATGGGTCGAATTGCTGATCCAGCTACAGCTGTCCATCCGGATGTCTGATGTTTTGAAGATAGGGCTCCGAAGAGAGGTGTCTGATTTGTTAATCAGAAATGTTTGTTGTAGAAAATGAGCCAAATCGGCCGATGAGAGAAAATGTTTAAAAGAAGATGTCCTTTCGTTGTAAACAATCAAACTAAAATGTATTTAGATCTTAAACAAAGTGTCCTGGACTTGCGGAAATTTTAAAATGAGCTAAATATATAATCTTGTTATATCTCAGTCCGAATGTTTTTCGGACAATAGTGTCTAGAATAGAGGTGCTAGGCGGATGGCTTTGGTTTAATGACCAGTATATTGATTAGTCTAATGACTAGCCTATTGGCCAGTCCACGGACTAGTCTATTGACTAGTCTTTTGACCAGTCTATAGACTAGTCAACTGACTAGTTTATGGACTAGTTCAGTGAATAGTCTATTGACTAGACTAATGACTAGTCTATTGGTTAGTCTATTGACTAGTCTTAGAATAGCCTTTCGACTAGACTAATGACTATTGGATATTGGATAGTATTAGAATAGTCGATTGACTAGACTAATGACTAGTCTATTGGTTAGTATATTGAATAGTCTTAGAACAGTCTAATGACTATTTTATTGACTAGTCTGTCGATTAGTCCTGTGTAAAGTTAGTAAAGTTAACTAGTCTTTTGACCAGTCTATGGAGTAGTCTATTGACTATGGTCTAGTCTAATGACTAGTCTATTGACTAGTCTATTGACTAGTCTTATGACTATTCTATTGGTTAGTCTATTGACTATTCTATTGGTTAGTCAATTGACTAGTATAATGTCTAGCCTAGTATTTTGTCAAGTCTATTAACAAGTCAAATGTCTATTCTGGACTAATAACTTGCCTATTGACTAGTCTATTAACTAGTCTATTATTTAGTCTAATAATCAGTCTATTGACTAGTCTAATAACTAGACTATTGGCTAGTGTATTGTCTACTCTAATGCATAGTTTAATAACTAGTCTATCCATTAGTCTATTGACAAATCTAATGACTAGTATTTTTATTGATCTATTGACTTGTCTTTTGACCAGTCTATGGACTGGTCTATCGACTAGACTAATGTCTAGTCTATTAACTAGTCATATAACTAGTCTTTTGAATAGTCTATTGACTAGTCCATTAACTAGTCTAATAACTAGCCTTTTGGTTAGTCTAATAACTAGTCATTTGAATAGCCTAATGACTAGTATACCGTATAGTGTAATGACTAATATTGAATAATTTGATTAATTTCTAGACAGTCTGTTGACAAGTCTATAGATTAGTTTATGAACTTATTAGGATATTTCGGCAGTTTTTTAATTGCCATAATTTACCACTTATTTCTTCCACTTGGCAATCCAGCTCCTACTCTGCCATTTATTTTATTCAAATTCTTCTATATTGTAATACAAATCCTTGTTAATTTGCACATTTTGCTATTTGCAATACTACACTTGTGCTCTTTACAACAAAGTATACAACTCTCGCTCTCTATTTTTCCACTTTATATAACACATCTCTCTCTCTCTCTTACATAACCACACAAACACATGCTTTATTTTGTTTACAATTGAAAACCATACATGTACCATTACACTCTTTGTTTTTTTTTGCACAGTTTTATTTATTTCTTGATTTCTTAAAAGAGTAAAAATCACTAAAAATCAACCAAAAAAAAAAGAGGAAACATCATCATCTCCTAGTAACAGAAACTAGTAGAAAGGAAACCAATCCCTATAAAACAACAACATTTCGTTAGACAGAGATAATTTTTGTAAAATAGGAAAAATATAAAAAAAAAATTTTAGTAACTGTAAAAGCAAATCAAAGAGTAGGCAAAAATAGGAAATAAAAAAAATCCTCGCATAAAATCATAGGAAAATAGAAAACATAAAAGAGTTTAAATGCACGAGGCAACGTTAATGGCAACTAGTTTAAGTCTATAAAGCGTTCCGTAAGACCGTATGATTTAAATAAAAGCAGGACGTAAAAAAAATTAAATAAATAAAAAGTGCAAAATATAAAAAAATCAAAGAAAAATAAAAATGTGGCAATAAATAAAAATTTTTAAGAAAAATCTATAAAAAATAAAATAAAGAAATTACTTAAATGAAAAAAATTATAAAATAATTAAAAAAATTAAATAAAAAGTGTTAAATATAAAAATTAATTAAAACAAAATAATCATTTAAATAAAATAATAACAAAAATTTGTGCAGAAAATAAAGTTTTTAGTCATCAATGCTGTAGTTACTGTAAATTCTGTGTCAAATTGTAATTTTTCTGTGTCATCATCCAAAATCCAAACATCTTCAAGCAGCTTTAAACATCTTTAATCTTTAAATTATTGACTAAGGTGAGTGTTTATTTGTTTTTTGTGCTAAAATATTTTGTAACAACAAAAATAAGTATGAACTTGTTTTTTTCACGTCCTCAAAAATATTATATAAGATTTTTCTTCTTATTTTTAAGAATATTTTTTTTTTGTTGGTAACAAATAATTTTTTTTTTTTTGGAAAATCTGTTCCATTACACTTGTTTTTTCCATTTATCTTTTTGATGTTGTAATCTAATACTTACTTTATTTATTTGTTTGTGTAGTTAGTGGTGTTCGTCCTGGCTCATTCATAATATTGTGTCACCATCTTGTAACTTGCTACCAGCCAACGAGCCAACAAACAAATAAACCCTGACTTTTTTTCTCATAATTTTTCTCCAAGAAATTTTTTCCCCATTTTGTTTTTGTTTGCTTTAAGCCGAAATAAATACATATATAAATATATTCATATATATTTATGTACATACATACATACATATATCCGACTTCTTTATTGCTGCCTTTCATAAACCAGTAAACAATTTGATACAATTGTAGTCATAGTTTTGCTAAAAAAAAGGATATTGGTTTTGTATTGTTTCATGGGCTTAACAAAGATTTTGGCTTTCTTTTTGTTGCTATTCCGATTAATGTTGGTTGTTTTTCTTTTCGTTTTTTCCTTATCTTCTTTAATTCTTTTGAGTATTTAAGAAGATTTTGTAGGAAACAAAATATTTTATTATCGTTTTATGCCAATATGTTTAGAGGAAATAGTAGTTGATGAAATTAAAGCTTTTGATTGATATGATGCAAGATACATACATATAAACTTAAGTATTTACTAGTCCAATATCAAGGCCAATTTATGGCATCAATTTCACGGACAATTAAGAAGAAAAAGCAAATGATGACGAGAGTTTTTTGGTAGCGCCTCTAAACCGTTGAGAATAGTTTACATGTGGAGTATACCGCTCTTGCCTTTACTTTTAAAAAAAGGGGGATATTTGAATTGTTTCCATGTTTAAGAAGATGGACTGATGAAGTCCATGTCATAAAGTTGGATAGCATCTAGTTTTAATAGACATCAGGCATGCAACTCGACTATAGACTAGACTATAAACTACACTGTAGACTAGACTATAAACTACACTATAGACTACAGACTAGACTATAGACTAAACTATAGACTAGACTATGGAATATAGACTAGACTATAGACAAGACTATAGACTAGACTATAGACTAGAATATAGACTAGAATATAGACTAGACTATAGACTAGACTATAGGCTACACTATAGACTACACTATAGACTACACTATAGACTACACTATAGACTACACTATAGACTACACTATAGACTACACTATAGACTACACTATAGACTACACTATAGACTACACTATAGACTAGACTACTAGACTAGACTATAGACTAGACTATAGACTAGACTATAGACTAGACTATAGACTAGACTATAGACTAGACTATAGACTAGACTATAGACTAGACTATAGACTAGACTATAGACTAGACTAGAGACTAGACTATAGACTAGACTATAGACTAGACTATAGACTAGACTATAGACTAGACTATAGACTAGACTATAGACTAGACTATAGACTAGACTATAGACTAGACTATAGACTAGACTATAGACTAGACTATAGACTAGACTATAGACTAGACTATAGACTAGACTATAGACTAGACTATAGACTAGACTATAGACTAGACTATAGACTAGACTATAGACTAGACTATAGACTAGACTATAGACTAGACTATAGACTAGACTATAGACTAGACTATAGACTAGACTATAGACTAGACTATAGACTAGACTATAGACTAGACTATAGACTAGACTATAGACTAGACTATAGACTAGACTATAGACTAGACTATAGACTATATAGACTAGACTATAGACTAGACTATAGACTAGACTATAGACTAGACTATAGACTAGACTATAGACTAGACTATAGACTAGACTATAGACTAGAATATAGACTAGACTATAGACTACACTATAGACTAGACTATAGACTAGACTATAGACTAGACTATAGACTAGACTATAGACTAGACTATAGACTAGACTATAGACTAGACTATAGACTAACTATAGGCTAGACTATGGAATATAGACTAGACTATAGACAGACTATAGACTAGACTATAGACTAGAATAGACTAGACTATAGACTAGACTATAGACTAGACTATAGACTAGACTATAGACTAGACTATAGACTAGACTATAGACTAGACTATAGACTAGACTATAGACTAGACTATAGACTAGACTATAGACTAGACTATAGACTAGACTATAGACTAGACTATAGACTAGACTATAGACTAGACTATAGACTAGACTATAGACTAGACTATAGACTAGACTATAGACTAGACTATACTAGACTAGACTAGACTATAGACTAGACTATAGACTAGACTTAGACTAAGAACTAGACTAGACTAGACTATAGACTAGACTATAGACTAGACTAAGACTAGACTATAGACTAGACTATAGACTAGACTATAGACTAAGACTATAGACTAGACTATAGACTAGACTATAGACTAGACATAGACATGACTATATCTATAGACCATAGACTTACACTAACTATAGACTAGACTATAGACTAGACTAAGACTGACTATAGATGTGACTAGACTCTATAGACTAGACTATAGAACAACTATGACTAGACTATAGGTAGTGACTGATAGTCTAGACTATAGACCATAGACTACCACTATAGGACTACACCTATAGCTACACTATAGACTACACTACAGACTAGACATGAGATATCTCAATGGATTACTTTAAAAAATATTACATGAGCTCAAACTATGGCTCTCTTTTGTTAACTGGGTTCGGTGCTGAGTGTCTTTTGGCCTAATATTCTTGCGAATAAAGATGATGAAGATGACGACAACAACATAATGATGATACGGAATTTTGTTCGTAAAGCCATTGTTAGTTTTATTCAAAATGCCAAAAATTTTTTTCATTAGTCTTCCTTCTCTAAGTCCTTTATTTTTATGATTCTTTTCAGTTAACAAAGCTTTTCCTTCAAATCGCGTGTTGTTTTAGTATTATTTGGTAATTTTTCCTCTTTTTTTGTATTTTCATTGAAAGTTTTTTTTGTTTTACTTTTTCATTTTTGTTATATTAAACACGCAAATATTAATAATTTTTTTCCGTTTCATCAGTTGCTTTTTTAAAATTATTGTTCATGGTTAGATACTACAGGATAAAATAAAACAAGGTTTCCATTTTTTGTTTGCATTAAGGGGAGATTTAACAACGTGAAACTTTCAAAGTAGTAGAAAAAATAAAAACTTTTTAAATTATTTAATTTTTAATGTTTTTATTAGCAAAAAATGTTAAAAGATATGTTGTTGTTTACTTCTATAGATTTGTTTACATCGGTTAGTTTATCTGTGAAGGCAATAAGCTTTCTCTCTACTTTTTTCTGCTTTCCTCTTCCCCTGTTCTCTTTTCCGGGTTGTTGTATTACAACAACCCTCCATTTGTTGTTTTGCTGGCTTTTTATTATTGTTTAGTTTACGTTGTTATCTTCTTATATTTTGTATTTGTTTTATGGTTTGTTTGATTTTAGTCGTTGTTTTTGTTTTAATCCCTTTTTTCTCTTATCAGTTATTTTGTTGTTACCATTAGTAATTTTGCATTTTCCGCTTGTTTTTGCTGTTATTGTTTTGAAATTCATTTTTGTTTTGTTTTGATTTTACCTTTAAACGTAAACAAATATGTAATTGCAGGTATGGAAAATTGAAATTGGACTTTATATTAAATTTTACTAAAATTCTATATTTTTAAATTAAAAGTAAAAAATTCGTATAGTAAAAAAAATTCGTATAGTGAAAAATTTGTTGAACTAGAACTGAACTAGAACTGAACTAGAACTGAACTAGAACTGAACTAGAACTGAACTAGAACTGAACTAGAACTGACTAGAACTGAACTAGAACTGAACTAGAACTGAACTAGAACTGAACTAGAACTGAACTAGAACTGAACTAGAACTGAACTAGAACTGAACTAGAACTGAACTAGAATTGAACTAGAACTGAACTAGAACTGAACTAGAACTGAACTAGAACTGAACTAGAACTGAACTAGAACTGAACTAGAACTGAACTAGAACTGAACTAGAACTGAACTAGAACTGAACTAGAACTGAACTAGAACTGAACTAGAACTGAACTGTACTAGAAATGAACTAGAACTGAACTAGAACTAACTAGAACTGAACTAGAACTGAACTAGAACTGAACTAGAACTGAACTAGAACTGAACTAGAACTGAACTAGAACTGAACTAGAACTGAACTAGAACTGAACTAGAACTGAACTAGAACTGAACTAGAACTGAACTAGAACTGAACTAGAACTGAACTAGAACTGAACTAGAACTGAACTAGAACTGAACTAGAACTGAACTAGAACTGAACTAGAACTGAACTAGAACTGAACTAGAACTGAACTAGAACTGAACTAGAACTGAACTAGAACTGAACTAGAACTGAACTAGAACTAAACTAGAACTGAACTAGAACTGAACTAGAACTGAACTAGAACTGAACTAGAACTGAACTAGAACTGAACTAGAACTGAACTAGAACTGAACTAGAACTGAACTAGAACTGAACTAGAACTGAACTAGAACTGAACTAGAACTGAACTAGAACTGAACTAGAACTGAACTAGAACTGAACTAGAAACTGAACTAGAACTGAACTAGAACTGAACTAGAACTGAACTAGAACTGAACTAGAACTGAACTAGAACTGAACTAGAACTGAACTAGAACTGAACTAGAACTGAACTAGAACTGAACTAGAACTGAACTAGAATGAACTAGAACTGAACTAGAAACTGAACTAGAACTGAACTAGAACTGAACTAGAACTGAACTAGAACTGAACTAGAACTGAACTAGAACTGAACTAGAACTGAACTAGAACTGAACTAGAACTGAACTAGAACT